AGCAACGAGAACGATCAAGAAAGTGATTTTCGGCAATTCCACAACTAGAACAGGTCTGATGGAGACCCTTCAGCTGTGGGGTCTTCTCTAAATGAGGCTGTACTGACCAACCCCTGACTGCAGAGAGAAGGCTTGTGGGCCTCACTTGGACTCCCCCTGGTTGCCCTTGTGTTGGGCATGAGGACACACAGCCTTAGGAGGCAAAGAAGCTCAGTGGCTGAGAACACAACTTCGTTAGGAGCCACACAAGCTCATCTGAATCCTGCCTTTGCTGCTTACATGCTGGGTAGACCTGAGCTGGGTAGCCATCACTTTCTGGCCTCAGTTTACCCATCTGTAAAATGCACTTAATAGGATTTATCCAAGGCGGTTGTGAAAATTAAATGAGATAATAAATAGTTTGGGGCAGAATTTCCCAGGAAACGTGGCCCTTTTCCTCTCTGGAGGCTGGTGCAGGGGCAGCAGCAGGTGCAGGGTACGTGGGAGCCCTGGATGGACTCTGATTTGAGCCCTAGCTGCAAGTTCCGGACCAAAGGGGTATCTCAGGTCAGGAGGGGTGCGGGGAGTGTCCCTGGCCTGCATCTGTTCAGCACCGTACAGGGGAAGGGTGTCCATTCTGCGTATGTGTGTGTAGGGTATGTGTGTGTGTGCATGTGTGTGTGGGGGGCTGGGGGTTGGGAAGTGACCATGGGGCCCAGACCCAGGAGCAGAATCCCCGGGACAGCCCCACAGGTGCAATCTTTTGCCCACTGCTTGTGGCAGCGTCCACTCACTTCCACTCATGGGGGAGGCTGGGGGGCACAGAGTGGAGGTGGGGCCTGGAAGAGGTCCAGCTCGCGCTCTGTGTATCGGAGGGACCTGGCACACCCTGGTGGGGTCTGGGGGGATGATCTGTGTGAGCTGGAGGGGCTGGGGCACCCTTAGCTTCCGCTGGGGATGCTCCCCAACCTGGAGTGAATTGCTCCCACTTCCCCACTGGAGAGACGTGCCCATTGCAGGCCCTGCTGGTGGGCGTGACCCACCCTTGTAGGCGTTAATAGCCCCACATCCCTGCATCAAGTTCCATGGAAAGTGAAATTTCAAGCATGTAGTAAAACGTGCAGAAACTGTCTAGTTATCCTGTGAGCCCAGAATATTCCCTCCCAGGAAAACTGCACACTGTGGTCGTGGCCCATGTGGTCTTTAGTTGGGCCAGAACGTGAAGGAGGAGCTCTGTCTTCTGATCACTCGTCCCTCCCTTAGCCTGCTTCCCCTTTGGGCATCTTCCCTCGGGGCATCCACTGACCCCTTCCCTTCTGCTCTTGCTGTCGCCCTACCCCCCCCCCCCCCCATTTTACACATGAAGGTGTTGAGGCTCAGAGGTTGAATGGCTGCTTAGGGCCACCGGGCTTTCATGGGTGGGAGCTGGGATTTGAACCTAGGTCTCTTGGCCTCCTTTCTCATTCCCCTGCTACTGCTCACTGGTCCCTGTGTAGTCTCTGATTCTTAACACTCGAGGGCCAGCAACCCCGGTGATGTGTCAGGCCCATAGCTCCTTGGGGCACATCTTACTGGACCTAGAGGTAGCCTGGGCACCTGTCTCTTGGGTCCCACTTTCTCTCACTGCAGCTTCTCTAGGCACATGGCAGGCTGGTCAGTGGCACAATGTGGGCAGTGACCTGGGCCTCGGTCATCAGCTTCTGTGCTCTCATTACCGTGCATCCACCCCCCGCCTTAAATGTGTGTTTCTGCTTCGCCACGTGAGCAAGTCCCTCCTGGGGGCAAGCCCTCTCCAAATGAGGCAGGTGAGGGGCTCTTCAAGGGGGACCTGCTCTGAGGGTTGGTACAGCTGCTTTGCCAACACACAGGAAGCCCTTCCTGAAAGCTTCCCACGCAAGGTCAGCGCTCGGCCCATCTGGTGCAGCACAGGAAGGGAGAGCCAAATGGTGTTCTGTGTTTTGTTTTTTGTACGGGGCCTGAGTGCAGCAGAGGCTCACAGGGAGAGAGAGGAGCACAGGCTTTGCAGTTGGACACATTGTGGCTTTAAATTCCAGTCTTGCTGTCTGTCTCGTTTCGTTTTTTCTGAGTCACGGTTTTCACATCAATAAAATGGGGGTGATGATCACAGTGTATATGGGGCAGGGCAGTTCTGAGTTTTAGAGACAGTGTCTAAAGGATCTGACCAACAGAGCCTGAGTACAATCAGCCTTCAGTAACACTCTGCTCTGGGTGGTCCTTTGAGTGTGCCCTCCATGAGCAAGATGATTAGCAACCCGTACAGTAATGCTGCAGCTAATCAAGAACTTACTGAGGGTATACTTCGCCAAGCACTCTGCTGAGTGTTTTACAGGATGGTCCATTTCCTCCCCAGCCTTTATAAGTCCCATTTTACAGATGAGGAATGAATCTCAGCGACATTATGCAACCTGCCCATCATCGTCGGATGCTGGTGAACAGCTGCACTTGAGTCTCGGTCGGCTCCATCGCCCTTCCATCTCCCGAGGCTGAGCACTTAAGGCACCACAGGTATGCTCCAGGGAAAAGCAGGGTTTGTTAGACAACACGCTCCTCACCTTTTACCTTTCTCCTTTTGTATCTGTTTGCCCTTCTCATTTGCATCACTTCCTCCTCTCGCCCTTTCCCTACTTTCTTCCTCTGTTAAGCTAAAGAACAATCAAAGCTGCCCTTCAGGAGTATCAAGTTTAAACATAACATGGTAAAGTTGAGGAAACAAAGTATCAGTTATCTATGGCTGTGTAACAAACTACCCCAAAGTGAGAGGCTTACAACCACAAGCTTTTATTTTATTTGCTCATAACTCTCTGATTTGGCAGTTTGGGCTGAGTCCAGCTGGACAGTTCTGCTGGTCTCTCTGGGTCGCAGGTGGCTGCAGTTAGCGGAAAGCTTGACTGGGTCTGGGTGGTCCAGTGCAGCCTCACTCACCTGCCTGGCGGTTGGCAGCCTGTTGGCCAGGGTGCCTCAGTGGCCACTCGCTAGGCTAGCTTAGGCTTGTTTAAGAGGGTGGAAACTGCATGGCCTCTTGACGTTTCAGCTCAGAAGTTGTACATCACTTGAGACACATTTTATTGGTCAAAGCAAGTTACAAGATCTGTCCAAATATGTCGGGTGAAAAAGTAGATTCCATCTCTTGTTGGGAGGAGTGTCAAAGACTTGGTGCCTGTTTTTAGCCTACCACACTAAGCACAGTTCCCTCCCCCAAAGATATCCTTAATATAACCCTTTTTGTTCCTTCACTCCTCTCCCCTGACTCCCATTCCCTCCTTATACTTTCAATAATAATTCCTTACTTCACATCACCCAAAGCTTCATTCACTCACTTAACAAATATTTTATTATGTGCCAGGGACCCCGAAGTGAACAAAGTTCCTGCTCTAGTGAATCTAATGTTCTAGTGGAGGGAGCAGACAATGCAGAAATAAACAAGCACACAGTGTACGGCTATGGTGGACAATGGGTGCTTTGGACAACAACAGAGCAGATGAGGGGGTGGGGAGTGTGTGTGAAAGGGTGGAGGGTAGTTGGTGGTTCCTATTACATACAGAGCCATCAGTTGACATCTAATGAGGTGACATCTGAGCCTGAAGGAAGTGAGGGAGTAAGAAGGTCCAAGCAAAGGGAAAGATTTCCAGGTAGCGCAAACAGCCAGTGCAAAGGCCCTGGGGCTGACATTGAGAGACACAATTCCTTACAGTCTTAAATGTAGTTTAAAAACACCAGCTGTATGTATTTCATGAAAGAATAATGAAAGAAAATACTTAAAAATGGTAAAGCTCTTGCTAAGCGAAAGCACTTTATTTTACCGGATTCTGTTATCATCGATTATAGCTCCTGAGAAGGGAACGGAGGGTCACCTCTCTGAGCTTCAGGGAGTTCACCTTTCAAAAGGAGAACTGTGTGCTTATCCTGCCTCTCGCCTTGTGGTGAGAATCAAAGTGACACCATGAAAAATGAAAGTTGCTCTGCTTCTGGTTTCATTTCCTACCGCAAGGTTGCCCGTGATTTTTTTTTTTTTTTTAAACGCAAAACCCTCAAAGGCTCACTGCTGCCTAAAGAATAAGTGCCAGGCACCTGAGCACGACTTCACAGGGCCCTGGCCGTCTCATTTTTTGCCCAGAACCGCCCCCCCCCCCACCCCACAACCCCATGCTCCAGTCAAAACCGGCTCTCATCTCAGCCCCTCTCTGCCTGGGATCCTCCTCTCCCTTCTCAAGCCTCAGCACCTAGGGGACAGGCGCCTTGGTGGTTAATGGACCCAGATCAGTGCCCCGCTGGCGCTCAGGTAGATAATGTGTCCACCTCTAAGCCGTTATAAAGCTCTTTCCAGACCATCTTCGAAGATCAAATCTTGGTACCGCCCAGCACTAGCTAGCTATGATGCCCCTGAACAAACCCCTGAGCCTGCTTCCCTATCTGCAGAGGGGTCCGGGACACCCTTTTGGTGGGCCTGGAGAGGACACGGGCCGGCGCGGGCACACACCGCGTCCGGACATCCGTGCTTCCGACTCTGGGGCGGGGCTGTAGGGCGGCTGACCGGGGTGGGGGGGGCCTCCAGAGGAGCAGGGTCTGGGGCTCGGGGCAGCAAAGGGGTGCGAGGGCTTCCCCGTAGTCCGTCCAACCCCGCCGGCCCAGAGTGCGGCCGGAGGGACCCCCGGGAAGTCCGCTCGGCGGGGCGCCGCCCCCGCCCCCGGGCAGAGCTTCCCGCGGCCACCACTCGGGGCCGCAGCCACGCCCGCGCGCTGACCCCGTCCACCCGCAGCCCGGGCCTGGCGTTCCGAGTAAGATCCCGGGGGCAGAGCCTGGCGGCGTGGTGAGCATGCGCGGGCCGCGACGCGCGGCGCGCATGCCCAGTGCTCCCGGGAGGCGGAAGCTCGGAACGGGGACGCGGCCGGGCGCGCGCAGCGGAGGGAGGCGCGCGCCTCAGCAGGCCGCCGCGCACGCGCGGCCCGCGCCGACGCAGCACGGCCCCGAGGGCGCGAGCCCGCCGCCGCCGCCGGGCCGGGACTGCTGTGCGCCCGCGGCGTGAGGCGTGGGAGGGAGCGCGGCCCATCATCCGCGGCGCCGCCCGGTCGTCGTCTATCTTCGTCTCCCGGCGCCAGCGCGGTCCGAGTGAGTGCGGAGCCGGGGCCGGGGCGCGGGCAGGCTGGCGGGCCGACTCCCGGAGCTGGTTGTTGGCAGGGCCGCGGCCCGAGGGTGGAGGGCCGAGCGGGGCCGGACCGGCCAGTCCCGGCGGCGGAGACCGGCCCCTCCCGCGCCGGCCGCGGCCCCGGGAGGCCGGGGACGTGGGGAGGCCGGGGGCCCGAGGAGGCCGGGGGCTCGGGGGCTGGGGGCGCTTGGAGGCCGAGGGGTTCGGGGCTAGGAGACTCTGAGGGTCTCGAGGCCGGGGGACGTGGGGAGGCCGGGGGCTCCGGGAAGCAGGGGGCTTTGGGGGATGCGAGGAGGCCGGTGACTCAGGGAGGCTGGGGGCTCGGGGGACGCAGGGAGGCCGGGGAGCTCAGGGAAGATGGGGAGGCAGGGGGATTAGGGGCTCGGAGAGTCCGAAGGTCTGGAGGCCCGGGGCCTCGGGGAGGCCGGCCGGCCTCTGCCGGGGCGGGCCGAGTGCCTCCAAAACAAAAGGGGAGAGAGAGGAAGGAGGGGGAAGAGGGAATCCGCGGGGCCGCCGGGGGATCGGCCGGCCCGCGGGGCAGGGAAGGGTGGGCCTCGAGCCCGCGTGCGGGGCGGCGGGGCGGCTGCGTCCCCCGCGGCCCGCGCTCAAGTTTTGTGCAGCCCGGAGGCTGTCTCGGCGGCAGCCCTGAAGACCTGGCAGGATTCGTTGCGCTTCCTAAGTTTCCTCCTCTTCTCGCCCCAGCCCCCAACTCCGCGGCGCCCGCCGAGCAAGCTGGAAGCACTCTGGGTCCTTTCCTGGCACCCCATTCTTTCTCAAAGGAGTGTGTGTGTGTGTGTGTGTGTGTGTGTGTGTGTGTGTGTAGGGTGTGTGTAGGGTGTGTGTGTGTGTGTGTACGCTGTTACTTGGCTTTCTTTGATTGCCGGATTTTGTAGCTCAATGCATTAAGGGTAAAGGTTTTTGTTTTTGCCATTTCAACAGTGTCTTATTCTTGCTTAGGTAGCCTGCAGCTGGGTTTTTGGCAGTGAGACCAAGAGAATAGTAATATTGTGGTATTCATGGGAACTGGTTGAAATACGGTCAAGTTGAAGGCGATGTAAGAGTTTGGGGGTCTGTATTTAAGACGACCATCATTGGGATTCTTACTTAGGATGTAAACATCTTCGTGGTTGGAAAAACAGGCCATTACTGTTCAAAATGCAATACCAGAGCCTCACCTTTAATACTGTATTTGTAAAACGGGTAATGAAAATAGTCTTTTCATTGAAATGACACAGCCAAGCCCTCAGGTTAGTTGTCCTGTCTTTGACAACCTCTGAAAAGTGGGAGGAAAGTATGTGGATGAAGTGATTTAAGATTCACAGTAAATTAGCATTCAGCGTACTTTGTTGAGGTACAGTGTAGATAATATTTTGGTCCAGTTGTACTATTGAGTTAATGTTTAAAGCCCTGTAGTATTTAAACACATGAAACTTTTAAAGGAAGTTTGTGTTTCAACTTTCAATTCATAAAGATAGTATGTCTTAGTATCTTTATGAGTATATTGTTTTATATTTTTGGCTACTCTTGGAGGGGAAAAACTAGTTGAATTTGCCATTAGTCTCTTCTGGACACTTGTGTACTAACTGCTGCTGAAACAGCAAGATCAAATATTATAGATTCTCCTCTGAAGAATTTCTTTCAGGTCATTATCAAATAATCCAGTTTAATAACGAGCACTGGAAAATATCGTTTAAAATACATGTTCCCATGTAAACGCGGCCCCATAAGACTTCATGAAAGGACTGAATAGAAGGACTATACATCATTCAGAGGTGATGCATTGAGAAGCAAGTGCTTGGCTAAATAAAGACATTGAATCCAAAACTTAGTATTTATGATGTGGGGCAAAGAATGCTGCAACTCCTACAGGAGATCGTCTGAGGCTGTCTGTCAAGGAAAGTGAGTAGTAAGTGTTAGATCAGGAGTGATCAGGAGTGTTAGATCCACTAGTGCAGCGGTTGCTAAGTGTCTGGGGAAAGCGGGAGTTAGGAATGGCAGTAAGGATCATTAAAACATTTTTAGCTAAACTCTTCTCTGTAACACTCCATGCCCTTTGTTGGAAAGTACAGAAATTAATGTTCCAATTCTCAAAGCTGGGTTCTTCAGCTAGACAACTTTTCTTACTAGAAAGTTGGAGAAATTGTCTAAATAACAAAATCGTATCATTAAAGTGTTCCCTTTAAGAAAAAATACTGATGAGCTTCCTAAGAAGAAATTATTGTTATATTTTGTATATACATATATAGTCTACGGTGCTATAAAGTGTTATGTGTAGCAAAAGATAATTTTGAAAATTACTATCTTTGCATGTTATTTTGAGTTATAGTGAGGTGGGATCTTAGTTCATATCTCTAAAGGTTTTATGGAAACCTTGTTTTCCAATATTTTAATGTGTCTTAATTTTGAGAAAAATAATTAAAAATTGTCTTAAGGGTAACAAAAGATGCAATTCAAATTGTTAATACAGTATGTAAATCTTTAATTTTTTTAAATTAAACATTTTCAGTTTAGACATTTTCAGATAGAATAAATCTGGTTTTAAATTTCAGTGGCATTAAAAAAAGTTCTGTTACTTTTGATTACTGTAGCTTTATAGTATAGTCTAAAGTCAGGGAGCCTGATTCCTCCAACTCCCTTTTCTTTCTCAAAATCTCTTTGACTATTCGGGGTCTTTTGTGTTTCCACACGTTTTTAGATTTTTTTTGTTGTTGTTCTAGATCTGCAAAAAATGCCATTGGTAAAAAGTTCTCTTATTTTTATCATATTTGTGAAATGAGTTTTTAAATGAGTTTTTTTGGCTAGTAAATCAGAAAAGTGTAGTTTCTGAAGTACTTTATTTTGCTGTAAAGCTCTAGTTTAAGAACATATTTTCATTAGTTTCCTCTTAGTGAAATCCCTTAAATAATTAGAAAAAATTACTGTGAGGATCTTTGAGAGTTTTCACTGATGTCTGTATTTAAAATGTTAACTTAAAAAATTTGGGCAGAGTAAATGACCTTACTTGAGTCAATAGTAATAAACTCCAAGAAGTTTATGAATGCAAATAAGCATTCAAATGTTAAGTTGCTTATCACCCTTTAGAAGGATCCCTGGAATGGAGAAGGATGGAGAGCAGCTCCAGCTTGCCTTGTGTGCACGTGTGTTTCTCTAGCTCACCCAGATACATTCAAAGTTATGTTTTTTTTCCTTCTTTTCTGTAAAACAGTGTTTAGTAGTGGATTATTTGAGCCCTTTATTGCTTTTTCTCTCTACTGACATTTTGGCAGGGTTCTTTTTCTTCTTCATTTCATGACTACCAAAAGGCAACCCAGTGCAAGAGAAATGAAATTCATATGTACCAGTTTCTGGCATTAGTTTCTAGGAATTGTGCTAAATCTTATCATTCAGAACTGTACAAATGTGTTTCTGATTGTAAATCAGCAGAGGAGCCCCCTCTGTTTCTATCTGTAACAGTTGTATTGTTTTTTACTAGGCTCTGTGATGGAAATGAAATTCAGATACACATACATAGTTAAACTTTCAGTTTAAATGGAATTTTTAGCAAAACTGTTAATTATAGTCTGATTTGCATAAATAGTAAGGAAATGATTTATAGACATAGTAGGAAATAAATGTTTCCCCAAGTGGCACTATTCCCACTCTTTAGCAGTTGGAAGCCTCAGAGAAAAATACTAGTAGCATCACCACAAAGTTTACCTATTTTTAAGGACACAAAGGTGTTTCCTTACAAACTTTGTACTTAATTAAAATAATCCTACCTAAATCTTATTTATGTACATAGCTATTTACTATAAGCTTTTTCACATTTTTCACATCAAGAAGAATGACTGAAGTTACACATTTGAATATTTGCCAGTGGTAGGGGAAGAACTGCATTTGTTAAACACCATGTGCCAGGCCTGAGCTGGGTGCCATAGTGCTTTATCTCCTTTTTTACTCGCTAGAACTACTGAGTTGTACTGCTGTCTGTATCCTCCTTTTGTAGATGAAACCCTGCAAGCATCGAGTTAGAGTAGCTCACCCGGGTCCTCAGCCCACAGTGGTGGACGGCTTGGACAGACCCGAGGGACTCTGCAGTGCCAGCTCCTAATAGCCTGCCTGTGGCCTCCCTGGCTGGAAAAGCAGCAGTCTGTAAAATCTTAATCCAGTCTCTGCAGCAGGAATAAGTAGTGTGCTAGTGTAATGACCATGTCTGGGAAAGTTTAGATAATTGTATTTTCTATTTGAATCTGACGCTTTCAGATCATGAAGTTCTGATCTGGCCAACATAGTATAGGTAAACATTTTAATTAATATACCAAAATTGTTTAATTATTTGAAATTAATTTAGAATTAGGTAAAGTATATAATGCATGATGCAGTGATTGATACTTCTTATTTGTCAAGATGTGCTTTAGTAACTTACACATTTACAGTTTTTTCATTGGTGACTTTTTTGAGGGGTTCATGTTTGAAGACAGTTTTGTGGGAAGCAAGGAGTATGTAAGGGAAAAGCAAATTGCACATTTCTCACACAGGTATGAGCCCCTTGTAGTAATCCTAGTATTTACAACCTCTGATACATTGCTGCTCTATAAATGTTTCTGAAATGAATGTGCTTACTCTCACCAACTTAGAATTTTCCATTCTGCTTTTTTTAAAATATATTTTTAAAATTAATTAATTTTGGCTGCATTGGGTCTTTGTTGCTGCATGTGGGCTTTTCTCTAGTTGCAGTAAGCAGGGCCTGCTCTTCACTGTGGTGCGCGGGCTTATTGCTGTGGCTTCTCTTGTTGCGGAGCACGGGCTCTAGGCACATGGGCTTCAGTGGTTGTGGCACGCAGGTTCAATAGTTGTGGCGCACGGGCTTAGTTGCTCCGCGGCATGTGGGATCTTAACTGGACCAGGGCTCGAACCTGTGTCTCCTGCATTGGCAGATGGATTCTTAACCACTGTGCCACCAGGGAAGCCCCATTCTGCTTTT